CTAAACATATCTGGTCTATTCCCATATACTGATACTGGTTCATCTTTTTTTCTAAACATATCTGGTCCATCCCCATATACTGATAATGGTAGTTAAATGACAGTTATCAGTATTTTTAAAGTGAACTGTTTAGTACAAAAAATCCCTTGACTCAAAATTCCAGTGCATATCCAATAATGTCAACAGGTTGAACTTATTTTGAATTCAATCAATTGAGTACACAAGAAAATCATTGTGCATTTTATAAACTATCACAAAATTCCAGGGTATATTATTTACTTTGATATATGACAATTGATAGAAGAAACTGTTGCCTGCTTTGGCTTAAGGGAACTAATCAACAAATAATGTTAAGAAAAGTATGCATAGATTGTACATGTAACTATGTGGCATTGCTGGTAGGCATGAAGGAGGTCAGGGAAGCACAGTCTGTAAAGGCAGCTGAGCATTCTCTCCACAATTGTTGCCCAAAGTACAATCTTTTCAATACCAAACATATTATATGCTGATATTTTCAATGCAAGATTTGTAATGAGATCTCGCAAGTGTCAGTTTGTATAGGGTGGTGTATGAACTGTGTTCTGGGGGGTTAGTCAGAATGTTGCACTACACTGTGTTCTGGGGGGTCAAGTCAGAATGTTGCACTACACTGTTTTCTGGGGGGTCAAGTCAGAATGTTGCACTGCAGTGACAATTCAAACATTGATGAAGGGTTGCCATTTTTTCTTTTCATTTTGAACTTGAACTCAGATTCATGTCACTTGAATCTTACTAATCATGCCTGTCAATTTTACAAGATCTTCATTGTATATCCACCCACATTGCTTTTTGTGAAAGAATTCAATGTTATTTGGGATAACAGCTAAATTAATTACATATCCTTGTCAAGTACCAGAGTGTTTACAGCAGCTGTGGAACATTTCACTTCCTTATATGGCAGTTGTTTTCACTTCGCACCCTTTTGGTAAAACTCAGAGCAGCTTTACTTGTATATTCAATTCTGTCATCAGTGTTGCTTTGTGATACTGCAACTATGTTATCTGTTGACATGTCTGCATGTCATGTTGCTTTGTGCTACTGAAACTGTTATCAATTGACATGTCTGCATGTCATGTTGCTTTGTGCTACTGCAACTATGTTATATGTTGACATGTCTGCATGTCATGTTACTTTCTGCTACTGCAAGTATGTTATCTGTTGACATGTCTGAATGTCATGTGACTGTATTACTGAAACAATATCATCATGTTGACAAGTCTATGGGAAATCTGCCATCTGTGTTCATAAATCTCTTCAAAATGACTGCACAATGCACTTGAGAAATTTATAATGCTGTATTAGCCAAGATAACTAAATTTTAACTTCTTTCTAAAAAGTTGTTTTCAGAAGACTTGTCAGAAATTGTAATAAAAGAACTAATATGGGCATGTGATAAATGTGACCAATGACTGCAATGGGACTCAGCTAGTGGTAGCAGTCTACCTGGAATTGAACACCTGTAGCCTGGGTGAGTATTCTGCAGACTCATAATTCTGACCAATCACAAGACAAGATTTCCTGTTCTGTCTACTGAGGTAATGTGTTGTTGACAACAATGGTACAAGTGTGTGGTCAGAGCTCATATAACAGATGACAGCTGACAACTACTTTCAAAATATAAAATAGATAAATTTAAACAAGCAGCCTCTCGGCTGAGATAGCTCCGCTGTTAGCAATGCACATTTCAATTAAAGAACTGAAGATATCATTAGAAAATGAACAATATGTATAGTATGTATAGCAATCGGACTTGCTGTTTTTAACAAGAATTCAAAAATATCACTTTTTACCAAAAATGACATAAATATTCACCAAAATTAGAGAATTGAAGATATCATCACGAAATGAACAAATCTGAGAAAGGTCCACATGTAGCATCTATATATGTAATATCAACGCAATTGGACTTGCGGTTTTTAACAAGAAGTCAAAAATATCACTTTTTACCAAAAATTACAAAAATATTCACCAAAATTAGAGAATTAAAGATATCATCACGAAATGAACAAATCTGAGAAAGGTCCACATGTAGCATCTATATATGTAATATCAAAGCAATTGGACTTGCGGTTTTTAACAAGAAGTCAAAAATATTACTTTTTACAAAAAATTACAAAAATATTTACCAAAATTAGAGAATTGAAGATATCATCATGAAATGAACAATTCTAAGAGAGATCTACCCCAGGTACATACACACCAAGTATCAAAGCATTCAGGCTTGTAGTTTTCAAGAAGAAGTCGAAAAAGTAAAACATTGACACGGACGCCGACGGACAATCACTCATATGATAAGCTCCGCTCGACAAAGTCGACAGCGGAGCTAAAAACTAAATAATGCAATGAGTTTATTGCACTCAATAAGTAAACTACCATTCACTCATTATTTATATTTCTCCTAAATTATAATTTGCATTTTGGTGTAATTCATAATATAATGAATTGACCCATTTTCGAAGCATTACAAATAATTTTGACACAATATTCTCATTTTTGTAAACTGCTGTACTCAGTTTATTTATCTATAAATATGCCAAGATAATTTTGTTATTTATACAATTTTAATTTGTTTTTGGTGCCTGGAATATCATGTGGAATGGCTTTATTCCACAGCAACACTATTTTCAATGTTCTTCTAATTTTATTTTAGTCTCACTTAAATTGCAGTGTCTAGTCTAGTATGAAAGAATCCTACTGATTATTTCCAACTGCATGGAAAATGCTCATTTCTCCCCCAACTGCTATCTTTTCCTTGATATATACCTACATGTAATATGTAATATGTTCTAATTTAATTTTTTATGTGCACCTTGTATTGTAAACATTGTAAACTGGCCACACTTTACTACCATAAATAATATAAAATGGTGTAGGTAGATCTCAGGTATTCTTCCTTCTAATACACATATTATGAGGTTTAATCGCAACACCTTGTGGTACAATACCTGACAATGACTGACTAATAGTATCATGTTTCAGTATGCATACATAATTCATTAAATGTCATTATCATATTGTGGGTCTCTAAAATCAAATATTTGAATGTTAAACAAGCAGCCTGTCGGCTGAGATAGCTCCGCTGTTAGCAATGCACATGGCAATTAAAGAACAGAAGATATCATTAGAAAATGAACAAATCTGAGAGAGGTCTACATGTAGTACCTATATACGTAATATCAAAGCAATTGGACTTGCGGTTTTTAACAAAAAGTTGAAAATATCACTTTTTACCAAAAATGACAAAAATATTCATTAAAATTAGAGAATTGAAGATATGATCATGAAATGAACAAATCTGAGAGAGGTCCACATGTAGTACCTATATATGTAATATCAAAGCAATTGGACTTGCGGTTTTCAACAAGAAGTCGAAAATATCACTTTTTACCAAAAATTACAAAAATATTCACCAAAATTAGAGAATTAAAGATATCATTACAAAATGAACAAATCTGAGAGAGGTCCACATGTAGTACCTATATACGTAATATCAAAGCAATTAGACTTGCGGTTTTTAACAAAAAGTTGAAAATATCACTTTTTACCAAAAATGACAAAAATATTCATTAAAATTAGAGAATTGAAGATATCATCATGAAATGAACAAATCTGAGAGAGGTCTACCCAAGGTACATATACACCAAGTATCAAAGCATTCAGGCTTGTAGTTTTCAAGAAGAAGTCGAAAAAGTAAAACATTGACAAGGACGACGACGGACAATCACTCATATGATAAGCTCCGCTCGACAAAGTCGACAGCGGAGCTAAAAATGGAATGCTTAGAATTTGTTTTAATTACATTTGGGTAAAATAATTATTAAAACCTAATAATGAGGTTACTATTTTGTCACATCAATGGTTTTATGAATCAACACAGTAGCTGCATTATTATTCACTACATTTTATGAATGTCACAAAAATGAGGATAATCTAAAAAATGAATATACATCACTCTGATAGTTTCAAAACAAATTTGTTGCTGGAAGGAAGAAATGATAATGCACACTGTTAAACAACTTGTTCCATATTTATAATTAATGGTCTTATAGTGTTAGTTATAGAGTTAGATTTATTAATGAAAGCGCAAAATGAAAGCTCCCTAGAATTAAATTTAACATAGCTGACAACTATACACGGATACAACTGTGTTTACCACAGTTATACACAATATACTTGACTGGTCTGACTTGACCACTGGTCTGTCTTACTTGCCCACTGGTCTGACTTACTTGACCACTGGTCTGACTTACTTGACCACTGGTCTGTCTTACTTGACCACTGGTCTGTCTTACTTGACCACTGACTTACCTCTATTGTCCTTGAGATCTACAGGCATCAAATGACCTTCCAGTAGGGCACGCAGTATTTCACAATGTCCATTTAAAGCGGCATGATGTAAGGCAGAAAATCTAAAAGACAAATTAAACCAAAATTAAACTCTGTATTGAAGTTCTTGTATAAAGTATAACCAAAGCAAAAATAGCATTTGGACAATTGGTTTTAAAAAAAATGGTCACCAGTTGATGTGCAACTTCAGTGAAATACCATATTTATTCTAATTTAGACGTCACTTGTAATTTATCTATCTAAGATAGGAATCACAAACAGTTGCCATGTTACAGCAAATAAAATGTGTTACCATGTGATAATATATATATATATATTTCATATGTATTGTTTTTAAATTTTGATTGTAATGAAAAGTATAGATTACAAATAAATTAAAATGAAAGTTACCATGTACAATATCTACATGTACATGTATATATGTCACCTTGTGAACATTGTATTAATTTATGAGATTTGAAATGAGACAACCACAAAGTGTAAATGGGTTGAGCTACATAACTGTACACAAGTTGTAAATTTCTATTGCTTTGCACAAATCATACATAACACTGGTTAAATAGTAAACAAAACTAAATTTTGTTTCAGCCATTTTGAAACAGAACATCAAACAAATTACATGGTGTATAATGTAATTGTAAAGTTTGATTATGATTAGTCAATGCATGTTCGAGACATGGCTCTAGAACAGTGAAGGTATTTGCATTTAGTCATTTTAAATCCGATCTGTTTTTTGGATTGCCTTCAAGCGGGGACTAATAAATTCTGGGTATTTTCATTTAAGAATAGGATTCTACCTTAACAATCAGGAATACCCGGTAGTTACTCCAGGCAGAATTTAAATATGAAACAACAACAATCATTAGAAATTGGTTCATACAAATTCACATCACATGATCAGATATTATAGGTGTAATGCAGATGTAACAAAAATTCACACCAGATCAACAAACTGTGGCATTGTGTTATTTTTCCCAGACCTCAGAAATATTTAATTAATGAATTTCTTCGAGGTCTGACAGTTGCATTTAATTTATTATGGCTATGTCAGTCAAAATTTCACTGAGAGTTTGTATAAATATTTGCTCTGAAAATTGACAAATTAAATGAGACAGCTAGGCACTACAATGTGGGCACTAATAGCTTGTGACACAATTAAACAGAATCTTACAATTAAAATAATTTTTTTAATTTAAATGAAAAAAAAATAATTCAATTCAGAAACTTTTTTGGAAAAAAAAAATGATACGAGTAAAAAGAATTGTATGAAACTTTATTTAATCTATGTGTATTTTGTCATAGTATATGTTTTATATAAGTAATGCAGGTTTTTCTCATGAGTAATAGCGAAGATAAGCGCAAATTTTAATGCAAATTTTACCTCATAAAATAAAGTTTAATAAATGAATATACTGTCTGCTTCAATTTAATATAAAGTACTTGGCAACAAATAATTTCCTAATTTCCACCATCTGTTTACACTGACAATTATGCTCTCCAACGTTTCAGACTCCTTCTTTAAACCTGCAGGAAGTCACCAGCTGTAACGCTGTTACTGAATGGCTACTTGAGTACTTGCACTGTCAATCACAGCAAAGAATCCATCAGTCATTTAAATTACTTGTTCCTGACAAATCTGACTCAAATATATATAATAATAATAATAATATTTATTGCATCTTTAGAAATACAGTATTTCTATCAGTACAGTAGCAATAAAAGTATAATAATAATGAAATAATAAAGAAAGAGAAAATATTATAATGTTAAGTATAAAAGTAAAATGTAATGTGTTAAATTTTTTACTAATACTAATAAGTTTAATAATAATAAAACTAAGACTAATAATAATAAAATTCAAAGCTATCAACTATCTATTCTTTCTTGAAAGGCTTTGTAAAT